ATAATTGAGAAATAAAAAATATATAAAAAATTAAAAAATAAAAATTATATAAAAATTTAAAATTAAAAGATCAAAATTCACATTTGGCCTTTTAAATTGTTGAGTTGAAGGAATTAAATAAAATAAGGGTACATTGGTAGTATTGGTACCAAAATAAATGTTGTTCAAATTCCCGAAAGGCAAATACACTGGTCTGTTCAGCGAAAAATATTTTAATATAATGAGTTTGCCAATTAATTTCAGGTTAAAATTCTGTCACCAACTAATTGAAGAACCGGTAGTTGCTTTGCTTGGATTGGAAGACTTAACATATGCAGACGATTTGGTAACTCTCCCTTTTTTTCCCTTTTTTTTTTTTTTTTTTTTTTTTTTTTTTTTTAAGACGTAGCTTCATTTCAATCTTTCTTTTCTCTGTCTCATAAAACCCAATTCAAATTGTAATAAAATTAGTTTGATAGGTAATCTCAAAATTTAATTACTAATTGATGAACATACAGAGAAAGACTTATTTCTATGTATTTTGTTCTTATGTAGAAAACAAAAGGAACTCATAATGTATTTAAGAATGGAGAAGGCAAAGTCTTCGTTTTCGACTCTGGTATGTCTTACCGTCCAACCCGACTGGTAATTTTTCTCCACTTTAGAAGATAGTCTTACTTAGAGGAAGTGAGCTTTATAAATGTCTAGACACAATTCTGTAAAACTTTGGAACTCAAAACTTTTTCATGTTTCATACTGCCCTATATCCAGATATTTTGATTTACCATAATGGAGACATCTGCTTCAAAATCAGTTACATGTCAGGTAGTTTGTAGCATTGTTTGCGACATCTAACATTAAGAACTCATCCAGCAGAAATAACTTCTTTTAACATTAAAAATAGATTGTGAGATGCAGGCTTCAGAAGAGGCTGAGATTGAAACAAGGTCAATGATCAGATGGGCAACAGCACATACTTTTCATCCTTGGAGGAGGCAAATAAATCCAGTAGAAATTGGCTCCAAGCAATTGAACAACTTCATCTTCTGAGGTATGAGAGTAAAATCTTGATTAAAAAGAGCAGTTTACTACTTTTTTAGAACATTCGTAAGCATGAAAATTAAGCATATAACAATCTTTTGATATTTAGATTTGACCATTTTATAGTTTGTTTAGTCATCAATTAATTAATATGTATATGAACAGGCCATAACTAGCTAACCTAAAGGTTCACCAGCCAAGCCTAAACTACCATGTTGGGAGTTCAACTCCTGCCTTTGGCTTGGGAACCTACAATTCCTCATGTTTAAAATAATAATAAAATGATGGGATAATGGTATATATTGCTCTCTTCTTTATGCAATTGCCACTGACAGAGTTCAGGTAAAAGAGGAGCTCGAAGAAACAATCCTATTAGATGGATGCATGCAAATGGAGAAGACACATGCATGTTTACCTTCCCAAGTGTGCTTTGGTATGTCAAGCTCTTCAACCAATCAACCTATTGGTAATTTTTAACATTGGAAAGCTGACGTTTGGATGAACTGATAGGCTAGAGTGTAATTAATGACTAATCTAATAGAAATTAATTGGAATATGGATTCCTTAATCTTGGACTTTGAGATTTAAAAGCAATAGAATTAGAAGTGATCTCATTAATAGCATTGGCTATTTCAAAAGATTGTTCTGTTATGATGCATCAACTGTCATTACAAAACAAGCATCTGCTAAAACCTGGACATTGTAGCTTTCATCTTGACAAGAAAACTGGAATGGTCTAAGCTTCATAAACTTTTCATTCTTCATCAACAGGGTTTGTCTTGCAGAAATCCTCCAAGGGATCACCACTTCCTGCAGCAGGCATGCCGGGCCACTTGTTTGCTACAAGATGTGCCAAATCAACAACCCTTTGGCTGCAATTATCCATCATATTATTGTTAATAACTAGTAAGGCACAAATATGGTTGTAGTTAGAAACAAGAAAGTTTTAAGGAATGTATCCTAACCTTTATCCCCATTCATTGTCATGGCAGGCCACCACCTTAATCATGTCATCTCCCATTACCGTGGTTAGTGAAGAGTCAATGGTAGAAGAAACATCACTGCACCTGAAGTCCACTGACATGAGGAACATCACAGACGGCCAATTTGCCAATCAATGGCTCCTCAGCTGCCTTTTTAAAAGCAGCATTGACACACTCAGCTGTAAACCCCCCCTTCTTAACATTCACAACGAGGTCAACAACTGAAACATTTGGTGTTGGTACACAGAGTGCAATACCGTTGAGCTTGCCCATTAGCTGGGGTAGCACAAGAGAGACAGCCTTGGCTGCATTGGTACTCATTGGGACTATGTTTAATGCTGCAGCCCTAGCTCTCCTCAAGTCAGGTGTGAAGCATCCAAGAGCCTCTGCATGATCACAAGCAGCAATTTGGTCTTCTTTTTTCAAATAGATCTCCAACTTTTCTATTGGAATTCATTTGGAATTCAAAGTTCTTTAAATTAGCTTAAGCTCTACATCCAAGTAGTATTTTGGGAAGTGCAAGTACCTGGTCTCCAGTGTATGAATGGGTGGTTGTCATTGTTCCCTTGACAATTCCTGCACAGTTTCAAACTCTCAATGAAGTCAAGGAAAGTTCATAACTGTGGTTATATGAAATTTGCCTGAACCGAATGGGTTTACATCAGATTGAATGTGAAGAAGTGCTTACCCAATTCTTTATCCATGACTTTTACAGAAGAAGCCAAACGATTTGTGGTGCAAGAGGCATTACCGCATTGACCGAAATTGATCCACCTATAAATTACAGCATCAAGAACTAGAAAAAAATTTTCAAACTGCTTTATGAGCAATCATCTCTTCGGAGGTACTAGCCCTATGATATTTGAGACCTCGTGAGAGTAGTCACCTTCGTTGACTCCAACAGCATAAGTTGGAATGTCTGTGCCTTTTGCTGGAGCAGTGATGTAACTTTCTTAGCACCAGCTTGAATATGCTTCCCAGCTCCACGGCCATCCACAAAAACTCCTCTTCCCTGAAGAATGCATATGAACTTATCCAGTCATCTAAAAAAACTCCAAAAATTTTGTCTTTAATTAATTTTCCATCCCTTTGCATAGTTCAGTAATCCAATACAGTTGTTGAAAGATTCCTACCATGAAACTGGAACCCAAAGTGTTTGTGCTGGTGAAAGAAATCATGCTTTAGAGAACTGCAAGAAATGAGAGGAAAGTGCAAGGACCCACCGCAATGACAATGTCAATGCCAAGATCAGCCCATGGAAACTTGAGAGGGTCCCTGTTAGAGACAACCTTGATTGGCTTGCCATCAACACTAATGGTGGTATAATCCACAAATTTGACTTCTGGTTTGAAAGTTCCAAGCATTGAATCGAATTTCAACAAAGGTGAAGCCTGTGTTTATATAGCACACCATAAGTTGATGAATGTAACTGATTAAATCACATGTTAATATTTTTTTTTTTTTGGTATATATCACATGTTAATGTTAACTGTAGTCAGGGAAACTATTAGTTACTTACATTCTTGACACCACCGCTGTCATTGACAACAACCACATCAAGGGGTGAGTCTTTCAGGCCATGCCAGCACCGAAGGAAGTTCCTGCCAATGCGTCCAAATCCATTGATTGCAACCTTCAATTTGGCAACAGTTTCTCTCCTGATAGGAGTTGATGCTACTGTCTAAATTTGGAAATACATTCAAGGCCATTAGAAGTCAGAACGGCAACAATGTTGCCTCACAACAAACTATATTTTAGGAACAAAAGGTTAATGTTGAAAGTACTTTGTACATTTTTTTGTATATTTTCCCTTGATAGCTGATTATTCGCAAGGATGGTGCGTTTTTTCTTTCATAGAAGACATCATGAGAGTCATGAAAAGTTATAAGCAGAGACATTTCTTTTTATGCAGCCTATTCCATAGCTCGGAAGATCTGATCAATAGTTTTACTTTTTTTTATAGAAAAAAAAGATGAGATTATTAGAAGAATATATAAAACAAAGTGTTTATATGGACTCAGAATTCCAGAACAGCTTAATTGTGCCGAATGTTGCAAGAAAGCACTGAACATTTTTAGAAAGATATTACTATGACTTGTCTAATCTGTGTGCACAAGCATAAAACAAGAAAGAAAACTCAGATAAGATCAGAAGGCTGAAGTAGGCAATCGACCTTAGGAGTAAGCTGAGCAGCCACGACCTTAGGAGTAAGCTGAGCAGCCACGACCTCAGAAAATGAAGTTCCTTTGGCGTTTGTAGCATATGTCACGCAAGAGACCGGAAAACATAGCCACTTCCAGCCTCTGCAAGACAAAATCAGAAATGAATATCCTAGAAAACTTAAGGGAAAAAGAGAAACTAAGAAGAAAAAGGATAGACCTTAGAAATGCATTGGGTGGAGAAGGAGCTGCTCTTAGATGGAATTTTGGTGCCTCTGGGGATTCTTGAAGAAAAAGGATAGACCTTAGAAAACTTAATTTGTCCCTTTGTTGGACTGTGCTCATTCGATCAACCGAGTTTTATATTTCTTTGCATTGTCCGGCGGGGCGGCGGCGTCACCAGGAGCCCCTTTTGACGGCCACCCAGACTCCGAAACTGTGATCTCGATCGTCTGATTACCAAACTTCATAGCGTTCATTGTCGATCTAATTGCTTCAATTTGAGCATCCAGCACGTTGTTGTAGATGTACCCTTTTGGGTCATGGATGCTGGTGGCATTTCCGAGCAAAGCATATTCTAAATCGACGGCAATCTGGTTTTCCCGTAGGCGAAATATGGGTAAGCATTAATCATGAACGGGGCTCCGATATCGGCCAAAAACCCAAGGCGAGAACCGCCATGCTGTGCTGTGTGGTGACCTAAATTTTTCGGTCGAGCCCACGAGTTACAAGCACCAAATGGTTTCTGCATTGCGTCGACCGGAATTCGTTGTCAAGTACTCGTTTTTGACACAGATAGCTACAGTGGAGGTGGCGGGAATGAAGGGGACGCCACGGGTGGCAAGCCATTCGTCGACGACGGAAACATCGGCGCTGAAGTTTGCAACATGCTGGTCTTCTACGGCTACCATGTGAAAACTAACCCAAGATCAATGGCGGTGTTGCAGAAGGCTTCGAGGATTTCCGGATTGGTGTCATAGATTTTGACCTTATCAAGTAAGGTGGATTGGAGGAGCTAAGCTACTTTCTTGGGTGAAGGAAGGTTGTTTCCGAGAGTTCCGTGCTAATGCCGACATCGAAAACAGGGGAGAATGTGCCGAAGAAGAGGAGATGGTGGAGGAAGAAAAGGGCTATCTTTCTTACCATGGTATAGAAGGTTTAATAAATAAAAAGATTAGGAATGGAACTTATTTGGGCTCAGAATAAAAAGAAGATCAAGGATTCTGTCATTAGGCTACCTCCAGTTCGGGGAAGGAGTAAATTTTGATTTTTCAGATTTTATTTAGTGAAAATTTTGTTTCCAAAGCGTGAATTGTAGGGCCTTAAGTATTTTGAACATGGAAAAATTGTTAACGTACCTAATATGAGACAAAATTAGCATAATTGATCAAAAGGATGTTATACTTAGCAACGAGGTCAGGCCAATTTGGATTTAGTTGTTTTGGGTCTCTGGTTTATTAAGTTGGGACTTGAGAGTTTGACTCTTATAATTGGCATATTTCTTTCTTCTTTTTTTTTTTTTTTTGAACTTTAGTTTCGTTTCACAATACTTTGAGCAAACCTTTTTTCACATGACAGTTTATCTAAAAATATAAATATTTAATTTTTAATTAACTTCGTATGTACTTTTACTAATTTTTATGAGTATTTTATATATTTGATAATGATTTTGCTAATTTAAATTGTGGGCTTTGTCCAGGTTTAATTCTTCTTGGGCTAAACTATTAATTTATACCAATTGGGCCTTAGTTTCGATGAATATGGGCTATCTTATTGAGCTAGA